GCGAGGTCCTGCGGAACGGGGATTGGGATTGGGATCTGGATCGGAGCTTGTGAGGAGAGGAGCGAGAGAGTGGATGGCAAAGAGGAGGAGATGAGGATCGGAGATATCGACGACGCGTCTCTTGACGATGTTGGTGGGAGTGGGACTGGGAGGAGGATCGTGTTGGGTTTTCGCTGGGCGGCTGCTTTCTTCGAGCTCGAGTTCAGTTTCAGCCGCATACTCGGTAGCGGAGCAGGGAGGGTATGTAATTCCCACTGCCGCTGCGGCGTTGTGGCTGTCAATTCCTCGAGGATCTTCCGTCCGAGTTCCTCGGAATCTGATCGCGTGATAATCACATTCAGTCGGCCTGCCAGCGGTCGGAATTTCGGGGGGATGCTCTCCCACGTCTTGCGGCCCATGACCACGGCATTGAGCGTTCGCGGCCCTGCCGTCGTCGCGGCCGACGACGAAGACGAAGAAGGCTCCGACTGCGAAAAACCAACCTTGGTGACCTCCGGGGCGACGTACGATGTGACGTTTTTGAAGAACGCCATGTCCGCCCTGATGGGCGGCCAGGGTAACTGGCCCCTCAGGCCGATGCCCATGGGCGGATTCAGCGCCGTGGCGACGATGACGTAGATGGGTTTCGGGCGCATGAAGATGGGCTTGACGATGGTGGTGGTGGTTTTTATGATGCGTTTCGACGACGGCGAGAGCATCTCGGCATCCTCTTCTTCTTCCTCCTCCTCCTCTCCCTGGACTCGGGCCTGGGCCTCGTCCTCGCTATCCCTCTCGAAATTTGGGAGCCTCGGCGTGGCCAGTTCTGTGGGCGATGGCGGTGATGAGAGCGTGGTTGACGGCGGTGTTGGTACCGTCATGTTATGTTATTCGTCCCTCTTCCTCTCTCCTTGGAGCCACGGCCAGTGCGTTGGGGTTTTTGTCAGGGGAATTTTCTTCGAGGTGAGGGAGGTGTTGGTGGAGACTCAGTCGGTTGTGTTGTTTGTGAGTTCCAGAACCCCTGAAAAAATTATGGGGAAATTTTTCCAATGTTGACGTTTCTTATCTGAATATCCCCTATTTTTTTTTTCTGAATGAGTTTTTGGGGGTTATGTAGATTCAGCTTGTCGGTATCGTGTCCTCAATTTATCGGATTCCTTTCTAGGTCTTGCTTTTGCGCATCTGATCCGAGAAGACAGTGAAAGTGCAAGGGGGGCGTGCAAAAGAGAGATACTCGTAGATAGTAGAACCTTGGTAGGAACTAGGTAGATAGGGTTGAAGTGTAGTGAAAGAGAGATGACGCCACAGCCAGGAGAAGATCGCTTGGTACCTGGTACTAAGCTAGGGACAGTAGATCGATAGAAACACAGACAGACGGACAGGTACGTTCATACCGATGTATGTATGTATGTGTGTACTGTACTGTGTGTGTTGTACTGAGTCTCAGAACACCTCGTGATGTTTATGAGTGACCGAGAAAGATGTGGTGTGGTGGTGTGTTGCGGTATGGAATTTTTGTTTTTCTTTTTAGCTGCATCCCCTCGTATGGAGGTATCTACCTAGCTACATAGCTGGACATCAACGTCAAGACTTCCCGCTGGTCTAGACCCCCTCGCGACGACATACCTATCCACACACTATCCAGAACCATCCCAACCCCCCAAAAACCATGGGCAGCAATAAGAAATTCATTGGGGGGTAACAGTCTGCAAGCCGTTTTTTTCAGCCAGAAGTCCAGACGCTCGGAGATGATCGCCCGCATCGATCCTCGATCTCCATCCATTTGGCTTGCATGCATCGTGTTGGTGGCGCGGGTGGCGCTGACCCCTGGCGGCACACAGAGAGGGGCTAGATGGCGTCTATGGGGCCATCCTACTCACCTACTGTAGGCGCTACGAGTAGGTCCAAACCCGGGGATGAGGTACAACACATCATGTACCTACCTCCCAACGTGACTACGATGCTGTCGGTGCAGTTTTTGCAGATGCTTCATGCGTACTAGGTATAGTAGTGTACAGTAGAACCAGGCCAACAGGCTAGAGTCGCTCGGGGAAGGGTAGATGTCTTTGTAGCTGCATAGGTAGGTATGTACCTAGATTTAACTAGCTGTGATTAATACTAGATAAGTCAGTAAGTAGTAGTAGGTAGTCCTGCGGGGCTTTGGGCTCGGTTAACAAGTAGGGTTGTTAGCTGGCTTGAGTAGACACCGAGTAGGTACTTATATATCTGCCGTGTACCTCTCACCCAAAGCCTGCATACAGCGTGGGCGGTGCTGCTGCCCGAGTGGGAGTGGTGGCCGTGGCTGCGGCCGCGAAGGAATATTTGACGCCGCATCCCTGTCCTGGTACTCGGTACTTTCCCCAAGGTACTGGATACAATCCATAGGTAGACACTAGACTACATGAGTATGGAGGGGTAATCTGATATCAGTGTCTCCTCTGCAGGGTCACATAGAGACGCATAAATCCATCGTCGGACCAGTTGGCTCGCTTAGGTGTCACTCTTTGGCGTTGCTCACCTCGAGCGCTGTCTCGTACTTCTCTAGAAATTTCTTGAACCCCTCTTCCACCACCTTGACATCCTCCTCCATCTTCTTCCTTATTGCTGCCTTATCCTGGCCGTTGACATCCTGGCCCTCGTGGTCGTCTTTGAGCGTGTCCAATCCGCCAAAGAGCCAGATCTCCTTCATCGTCCGCGTTAAAATCATGATCTCCTCTGCTGCGCGAACGATTGCCGTCGATTCGACGTCAAGTTGAAACTGTTGCACAGCCGTGTCTGTCAATGATGGCGGAGCCGGAGCATTCGCTGTGCCTGCAGACGCCGCGGCGGATTGTGCGGCGGTGTCATCGAGAGCCACAGCTAGAATGTTCTCGAGCCTCTTGATCAGGGTGGTTGAGAGAGCAGTAATGCGAGCTGGAAGGCAGCTGTCAGAACAGGGTCTGTCTTTACAGTCCATGAAGATCCATCGGATAGTAATCAAGGGGATAATACTCCATGGGCGCTGATGATACTTTCCCAAACAAGTGACTGCTCTTACCTTGTAAGAATTTGGCCGTGGGCACGGCGTCCGAGGCCGCCTCTCGTTTGGGAGTTGGTTCCATCTTGTCAGAAGTCCAGATCCGCTTCAGCCTTGACTCTTCAGTCTCCACTCTATCAGCTCTATTCAGAACCACTCACTGTCTTTCGCAATCCTTCAGCAGCTCCTCGATGCGGACTGTCTTGGGGGCGAGGGTCTGATGAGCCCCTGCTCAAATTCAGTTGCTCTGCGTCCGATTTTGGACCTCGTTTGGATGCCACCCAGCTCTTCGGAGGTCGGTCAAACACAATCGTGAAAGGTGAGAGATCAGGCAAAACTCCTGCATGGCCCAGTCGAGAAGAAACAAGTGTCTTGTCAGCTGTGGTCGGCACCGTGGCTCGTGAGGTAGATACGCTGATTGGTTGCTACATTTTCATCGATGGAAATCAAGGAGTTGAGAAATGTGGTGTGTTGAGCACAATCCAAAAGCAGGTATTGCGCTTTAGTCACGTGTGGACCTCCGTAGTGAATTCTACTGCGGATCAATAAGGCCGGGAATAGCAGCCAGGCAGCAAACCCAACAATCGTGCTATGTAACACTCACCATCCACTTCACCTGCCCTTGTCTTGTCCAATTCATCAGACCCCAATAACTTGATATATGCCTGAGGAGTCGATCGACCTTTAGAGAAATGTCTCAGTGACCACCCTCCGTGAGCACCTTTCTTCTGATCACAGAATAATACGCAGTGGGGAACATCTCCAAAGAGCCAGTCTTGGTTGATTACTTTCAGGTTCTACTCCTGTGCATACGGACGAGAATTCCAAGTAAGCCTGTGACAGATTCTTACTTGATCCGCTAGGGGTTCCTCGAGATACAGACCAGCTGAGTGGATACAACCATTACGACTCAACGACTTGTCGTTGCATTTTCTCGGCCCCTCGGGATCTTCGCAGTCGCCGCCACGCAGCTGGCCGAACGATGGCGTTGTCTTCGCCACGGGCTGATAAATTTAGAGTCGACCACCGCTGATGGCCGCCTGCTCTGATTCGATCAGCCCCTCGCAGCCACACCTTGTCTCAGACATGCTGGGGACTTTTGGGGAAGGCAAAGAAAAAATTCTCCGCAGCCATGCATGGTATACCACCTTACTGCCACCAACGCCAGGCACCCTATACGTTCATTTGCAGTATACGAAATACAGTTGCTCCAGCGCCCCAGCAGGCGGTCACTCCTGACGTCAAACCCAGGATTCGGAACTCTCGGTAGACTGTGGATCATCCAAATGTGCATTTTCAAGGCCACAGCCGAATCGAGTGGGAGAATATCGGCATGGACGATCCACCGATCCTGAGACATTGCATACGCATACGACTGCTGCTTGCCATTTCTCCCACGCACCCACCACGCATGCTCCATTGTTATTATGTACAATACTCGGCTCGGCCAACAATAGACAAATTAGAGAGAGAGAAACGGTCTGGCTTACCGGCGAGGAGCGGGTATACCGATGTATTGGACCAATCCCGGCCACAGACTGACTTGGCCCAAATCCATAACTGTGTCTACCGAGACTTCGCCTCCAACAACCACTAGCCAAGCTCAGAAACGGTCACCGGAAGTGGCACATCGAGGCATATACTTACCACGCAGTATGGATTGACGGCCTTAAACTGCCCCAGTTGGGACCCCAGCCATCGAATCTTCCTCATGGTACTGGAGACTTACGCCTTGTTTGGCATCCACGTGGTGGGGAACTGACCCAACGTCCACCTTTCAGCCGGATCAGCTTTTCCTTTTCGATGAGACGTTGCCATGCTGCGCCTTCGAGGCACTGGATGACGATCGAGTCGCTCGCCTTCATGGTGTGAGACCTCTATGCTGAAAGGTATGTATAAGAACGAGGCATTTGCCCGCTTTCTGTGAGGATTCCCATCATTCTACAAGCTCTCCTGTCATTCGCTGTTTTCCATTCTGTTATACACACATTCGTTCTTCTCACTCACTATGGCCAAACCAATCGTTCTATTTTCTCTCCTCGCCCCCGCTCTCTCAGCGGTCTTGCCTCGTGGTCAAGAAAGCTCATGGAACGAGTGGGCCTCGTCGAGCACGACCGTTGCCGCCAGCAGCACCTATTCTTCTACGGTCCCTGCCCAAAGCAGCAGTTGGGGGGACTGGTCAACTCCAAGCACAACTATTGTCTCTACAACCACGACCACAAGCAGCCCAGCGGCCAGCAGCACAACAAGCAGCAAGGGCTGGAACGACTGGTCGAGTACTTCGACAACTCCCGTTGTTCCTACGACGAGTAGCACGACTAGCAAAGGCTGGAATGACTGGAGTAGCTCAACGACTCCTGTTGTTCCCACAACCAGCAGCACGACTAGCAAAGGCTGGAATGACTGGAGCAGCTCGACTTCCGTTGTTCCTACAACTAGCAGCACCACTAGCAAAGGGTGGAACGACTGGAGTAGTTCGACATCTGTTGTTCCTACGACCAGCAGCACGACCACTAAGGGATGGAACGACTGGTCAAGCACTTCGACGACCCCCGTTGTTCCTACGACCAGCAGCACGACCACTAAGGGATGGAACGACTGGTCGAGCACCTCGACGACCCCCGTTGTGCCTACGACCAGCAGCACAACCACTAAAGGATGGAACGACTGGTCGAGCACCTCGACGACTCCCGTTGTGCCTACGACAAGCTCTTCAGCTACTAGCAAAGGTTGGAATGACTGGTCTTCCTCTGTCGTGCCGCCCGTTTCTTCCTCTCAATCGTGGAGCGGGTGGTCTAGTGTTCCTGCTCCGCCCGTGAAGCCGACAACCACTCCCGCTCCGGCCCCAGCCCCGGTGTCTTCTAAGGGATGGAATGACTGGCAATCGAGCTCCGCTCCGGCTCCTGCTCCGGCTCCTCAACATTCGCAATCTGCAGGATGGAATGACTGGAAGAGCACATGCACTCCTAGCACGGCCACTACCACCGTGTACGTAACGCAGACAGCACCCGCCTCCACTGTGACTACCACAGCGCCCGCTTCTACTGTGTACGTTACCGAAACTGCGACTACGACGGTGACCGAGTCGGAGACCACCACTGCTACGGTGACCAGCTGCTCTGCTACCAGTACGTCGTCGGGCTGGCAAGACTGGCAAGGCAAGAGCCATAGCCCAAGCCCAGTCCCAAGCCAAAGCACTGGATGGAAAAACTAAATTCAATCGTCCACGGGTGCGCTCATCACTGGGAACGTGTCAAGGCGGGAAGTGAATTCGAGACACCAAGATCTGGATAATTGGGGGGAAGTAATATCCCCCGGAGGAAAATTGTCAAACAGCGACAGATGGATGAATGGGAGGAAATTATGATTTACTTTGATGTTACCTATCTATCTAATGATGGGAAGAGTGCATTTGCGCCTCGGGAATAGACGACCTTTATTCAGGATTGGATGAAGGGGGCGTCTCTTGTTGGTTTTACATACTTATACGCACGAGCGAGTGAGTAGATGGTTACTCTCGCTCGCGTGACTTGTCACTCCTTTAATGTTGACTGATAATGTTTACTGTCTATCATCTGCCATCTACCATCTACCGTGTAATTGTCTTCTGAGCACTGCCGAGTACATCCAAACCACTCCAATCCTATCACACAACAACCTATTTTCTTTTGCGCGGTATATACCAAACCGCTCACTAGTATTTCGTGCACAGAACATGGTACGACCATGGTACATGGTACATGGTGTGATGGTGCACGATGGTGCTTCGTACACCGGACCTCGTACATAACACCGTACATGGCACCGTACAAAACGGGTAGTACACAGCTCGACAGTACAGTACTCAGTCGTGACAGTGCCGGTGAGGTAAATCAATCCCTAGGCCCTCACGCTACATTGGTAGATAGGTTGTAGTAATGATATCGACAGAAGGCAGATAGGTAGTGTAAAAGGGTGGCACAGCGTAGGCCAAATCATACATTTACTATAGAATCTTGCAGTCCCAAACCCTCCGTCCAGTTGCGCCACAGCAGCCGACAAGTCATCTAGGCCTGGGAAATACAATGCCACCGATCCGATCAAGGGTCTCGCCTGTCATCACTTCAGTTGGGAACGCCGGGAACTTGCAAGACACGTTTGGACTCGGTCCGTCTTCTTCTGCCCTCTTGTGACTGCCACGTGTATATCCAGATTTCTTGACTGGTTCATGGGCGAGACCTCAGGCTCCAGATCTCCTGTGGAGCTTTCCCTCGAAAACCCGCGAGAGACAACCGCAATCCCCCAATCATCAGTCGAGCAGCACCCCCTTATCCAATCGATGCCCAGCTCCGACCAGCCCGGTTCCGCATATTTCCCATCGATCCTTGTATTGGCACATCGACGACCCAATTCCCGCCACTCAACTGGTGAGAAGTCAAACCAGCCTTCCCTCGGTTGCAACGTAGATTGCGCTGAAACGCTCATTGACAGAATATAACACATCCTGTGGGTCGAGCCCGACGCCGCCGAAAAACAAAACAGAAGACTTGACACTCGTAAACACAAGGATCCATCCGTAGTCATAACGCCAATCAAAATATCCACCCATTTTGAAACACCAGCGCAGAAGCCCAAAAGTTCGTTGGCTCCGTGGTCGTGGAGCTCTTCTATCATTTCACGCCCGAATTGATCTTTATGTGGCATCTTATGCACATTCGGGTCGATGCACTCGCTGAGCCAGGCTTCCCCAGGGCACAGTGATGATCTATTCTCGGCAACTTCCATCACCTGCCCTCCCGGCCGTGTTAAAATCGCTTTTTTCCATTGCGAATGGTAGAAGATCGTCATCGTCGAATCGGTTTTCGGGTCGACTCCCACTGCTTCTTCCTCGCCATGGGACGCTGCCACTGCTGCCCCCGGGATCAATACTGCCTCGAGTTCCGCCCATGCTTGATGTTGATCCTGTAGGTGGTGTGGCTCGTCGTCCAATGCCGTTTCTGGCGGCTGTAACCTGATTGCGGTAAGCGGTGGATCGACCCGAGCCAGAATTCTCGGAAGCGCCGTCATCGTTCGTAAGGGCTGTCGCCAGACCCGAATGGCGATGGACTTGGGACGATCGTCGAGGTGACCCGATGGACGGTGGTTGGATTGGTATCTGTCCATCTGCGACGGCCCCATTGGCATGATCTTGGGCAGATTCCCGGCGGTGACCCCGACGATCAGCTCCCATGCTGGCACTTCGCATCCCATATAGATCACCAATGTCTTCGTCTGAGCTCAATGGTCTGCGCTGAGCAGAACTTGAACGTTGGTACGACGAAAAAGGCCTGGGGGAGCTGGGAATATCGATGGCAGGAACATTGGAGGTTGACTGAGCGTGTGCAGTCTCCTCTGTTGTAGCTTCGGACGGTGATGGTGGCTCTTCGGGAGCCAGACGGTGCGGCTCGTCAGCGTCATCATGGCTGTAAGCAGCGCTAAGTCGAGACGGAGCAAAGGGAGTGTGCGGTGTGTGAGGTGAGATTGGCTTTCCAGGAGAGGACGAGGTGGACATAGAGGTGCCCGCTACCATAGGAGGAACCCCAGACAATTGTCGACTGGACGATGCCGACGATCTCTGCAACATCAACGACGACGTCATAGAATCCGACAAAGCAGCATTGGAATCTCGCATTCTGTGATATCGATTCAGCGCAGCGGCAGTTCTCCTCGTGTTTGCTTCGGCAGCCGTCGTGGTTGTAGGAGTGAGAAGGTCCTTTTGCTGTTCCAGCATCTTCAAGAAACTCGAGATATTCTCTCCGTCGTCATCTCCCATTGAACCCGAGCTGCCACCTGCTGTGGGTCCCTCTGTCATCAGTCCCGAACCAGGCTGAGCAGACGAGGTGGCACTTCCTCTTCCACTGCTCGTCTGATCTTCATCTGTTCGTACAGTTGTTCCTCCCGAAGAAAGCCGAGCTCGTCTGTGGCTAAAACTACTACTATATCTCGTGACAGGAGCGGGTTTTGGAGAACTTGAGGTGGAAGAGGCGATGGCGTTGTCCGAGGCAAGAGATCCAGCTCGTCGCCCGGCCAGAGTAACAGGGGCCGCTGTGGAGGAAGGAATACCCTCTTCCGTCAAGGAGCCCAGGACGGGAATTCGTGCAGAATGGGTTCTTGGCGAACTGGCCATGGGAGAAACGCCCAGTGGAGATGCTGACAAAGTGGGTGTCTTAAAAGGCTGGACGGAGAACGAAGTTGAACTTCGCCGGTTGAACGCTGCATTTCTGAGAGAATTGCGCGAGGTTTGGCCTGCTGCCTGCAAGGGCACAGCTGGCCTTGCTGGTTCAGGAGTAGGAGGAGAGCTTGCATTGAAGTCTTGAGCGTTTCGCAAAGCAGAAATTGGATCGGTTCCGGTAGCAATACCTGCTTGGTGGAAGCTTGTCAGACTCCCATATGCATGACCCAGCTCTGCTTGTTCCAGTAGCCTCTGTCGTCGATCTGCAGGCAAAGATCCAATTTCTGTCCTGGGCGTCTTCTCGCTGGGTAATGAAGGCCGAAATAGCTCATCATCAGCGCCCAAAAACCGAGAGCTCAATAACTCCTCGGAGTCGTCTATCCGAAAATCACAGTTTTGGCGGTAATCAACCTTGACAGAAAAAGGACCAGCAGGTGAATCTGTTATACCAAAATCATAGGACAACAAGACGCCCGAGTTGCTGTCGAAGAGTCGCGTGCCCAGATTGTCGGAGCGAGACAAGCTCCGCATGTGAGAGCCGTCGACCAATCTATAGCCCAGCTTCATCGCCATGTGTGAGCGTCCTTTGCCAATCTTCCTTGACAATTTCCAAGCTGGCAGGAAATTGCTGTAGGTGTAGAGAGATCTGAAGAAAACAATGCTCTTTTTGTAAACCAGTGGCAGCACCATAGCGAGATCTGCAGGGATGGGAGCTGTCGGTTCACCGAGTTCTATAGTCCACCGCTCGAGGATGACTTCATCCATGTCCGCCATTCGACGCTGGTTCCCGCGCAAAGCACTATGGGCTGACATCAAGGTATTCATGACATCCCATCTCTTGCCGTCTTCGTCCACAATGACCAGTCGCTGGCCTTGTTGCAAGGACTCGGTGCTCAGGAAAACCTCAATGACCAACGGAGGAGGCCTATTGGAATCGACATCGCATGTCTTCCACCTCTTGATGTCATCTTTGTACTCATCCGTTTCCTCAATGTCAATGTTGAACCACCGATTCACTCTCTTATCGTTCGTCTTCTGAGAGTAGGCCGGTGCTAATTCGACCCGAGACTGCAGGATGATCAAGGCGGACTTGGTATGGAAGTTCTGGATGACCTGATTGAGCCTCTGCATTTGGACGCCGGGGTTGTCCGCAGGTTGATCTTGACGGGCAGAAGCAAAGTCCTCGGACGAACCGGAGCCTTGGGTGAGAGGAGAGTTTGTTCGGAGAGCCAGGACGTCTCGATCTCTTGGATTGTTGGTGCGGCTAGGGTTTGTTTGCTCAGAGGCGGCGGGGGATGCTGTGAGAGGAGGCGGACGAGGGTGTTGATGCATATTGCGTCAAACGGGATCTTGAACGTAAATTGGGTGCTGTTATTTTCACTCCCAGTGTGCCTGGCTTAGCGTTGAAGGGGTGAGTTGGGACTGATGGGTATTCGGTAGCCATCCATTGCTCTTCATTGATGTGATATCCACAAAACGTATGCAGCAGTCCTGGCGCAGGTGAGGGTAGCGGTCAAGGCATCTGGGACTTTGATGTACAAGGCTGATGGACGTAATTAAAAGACCAGACTAAGTCGATGAAGGGGCCATTGTGGCGTCGGACCGAGAAGAAGGATAAAGTGGGATGGAAATGGTCAGCGAGAGAGTTATGTGGTTGAGGGTTTGAGGTGCTTCCGTTCAAGATGGTCTCGAGTCGTGGGCATATGACGAAGGCCGCATGTGATTGGAGGTCGCGCGGGCAGGCGGCGTGAGGTACTTTGGACCAGGGTCAGATTGGGGTCATGCGAAGGCGATGAAGTGAGAGGATAGAGGTGAGCAGGCAACCACGAGCAGGAGTCAGGATGGGGGTGGAGCAGGACTGAGGACGATGAGGTGGGAGACAGAAAGGGAAGAGATAAGTACTGGAAGAGTCATCGAATGTCGGGAAAAATGTATATCGAGGGCGGATGGCCAGCAGGAGAAGCAGCAGCAGCAGCAGCAGAGCGCAGCCGTAGTAGTAGCAGGTTTCACGCATCATGCGCTCT